AAAAGGACTAGCTGTACGTTTTGATAAGTTGAGGGGCCAATGATAATGAATTTTTAGTTGAGGGATCATTTCTACAATTTACTCTTATATAACAACCACTTATAAAAAAAAAAATTCATCCACTTATATTATAACACTTGATTATCAAACTGTGTTCTTGGCGTACTAAAAATTTTCTCAAATTTTCTCTTTCATTAATAGAGAAACTTTCACGAGCACGTACCAAGAATTAAAAAAAAATACACGTATTATAATTTAAATAAAATAATTATTAATATTCAGTGACAGTGTTCGAGGGACATAAAAAATTAGTAGTTTTAACGAAACACTCCTGATATTGTTTACTTTTAACGAAAAACCATATTTTTATATTTATCTGATATTATTTACTACACCTTTATTTATCATTTTTCATTAAAACTAAAAAAAAAAATCAAACTTTTTATTAGTTTTCCTTTAAAAAAAATCTATTTATTAGTTTTCTTTAAAAAAAATGTATTTTTTTAATGTCAAAATCACATGTCCTGTACTTGAGAATAAAATAGGTGATCAACTTGTAATGTTTCCTGGTTAATGATGCTTTGTTGAAACCATATGATGATAATATATTTCTTTGCGTTCTTTCTCTCATATAAGAGAAATGCTAAGTATACTAATTTTTTATATTAAATTTACAAATTATGTAATGTGTTTTTAATTAAAAATAAGCATATTAATCAATACTTAAATATAATTTAATTATTGACAATCACGTTATATGGTTTACAAGGTATAATTTAAATAAATGATATTCCTAACATTATCCTTGTTGGAAATTTGATTTGGATCCCATCCGGATCTAAATTGTGAGAATTCTAGAAATCCTCACATCTTAGTCATTCATCGTGTATCGTGCTATCATAAATAATTTGACTTTTTTATTTTTTTATTTTTTTTTAAATTAAACACATATAGTACTTGAAGAAAATTAACCACACAATGTATAATAAATGACAAGGATATGGAGATCTTTACTATCCCCAGGATCCGAAGAGGACCTTTTCCTTGGAAACTAATCTTTGCAGAACAGCACAAGTCATATTAGTGTACATTGGGATTGGATAAGATCATTGACATTAAGGTGTGGGCATTTTACAATGATCTATTAACTATTCACTGCTTGTTTTACTTTCACTTGGGGTTCAGCCTAAGGTCAATATAACAATAGTAACACTTGTTAGCAAACTACTCTAAATACAAATAGATAGTGCATATTCTGAGGTGAGTGAAGTGATCTATTCTTAATATTTACTATCGCAAATCTAATATTTAGTAAAAAAGAATTACATATGCAATGTAAGTAAATTTGTTGCTTAAGTTCATGATAAAAAAAATTATTTGGATGAGAGGAGTTTTTGTTTGCATTGGGTTGAAGAACCCAATTCCTTAACACCCCGAAAACACATATGCCCGTTAAAAGGTTAATATACGTGTTGCTGAAAAAGTCATATGTGTTCAGGTGTTTCACTTCTTACGAAACATTTCACTAAATTAACCGTAGATGATGGACTACAACTGATTATTAATTCAAGTGACACATTGCTTCAAGTTTTTTAACTGGCAAATTGCAAAATTTAGAGTAAAAGTTCAAGCCAATTTGAGAATTGCCTTCAAATGTAATGTTCTCTTCCTTTTTTTCACACAACCTATATTCATCTTCTTCTTGCTAGTGAGCACGTTCAATCCTTCTATGTAATCGATGGAACTTACCCTTACTACAAACTAATGAAAATTCTAAAAAATGGTGGGTACCAAACAATATTCATGAATGTTCCACCAAAAAAATTTCAATAATATACATACCCATTTAGGTCTTACGAGTTGGATACTCGGATTCAAATGGTGGGTACCATACATTATTTCGAATAATATTATTGATCAATGTTTGACCAGTCTATTTGAAATGAAGAACCGGTGCTTAGAGTCCAAGACTTGTTCAACATGATTTCTTTACATAATTCTCTCAAAACGAGTAGGAGAGAAACACATGTTAGTATTCTGTCCAGATGCAGGTTAACCAACTTGCCATGATCAACAACTTATTACTCAACAACCAAGTCAGCATCTTCATTATTATTGGGGAATGAGACACCCAACCATTTTATTTTGATATGTGCATATATGAGTAATTTTTTATGGGACTGTCAATAGAGATGGTAAATCAACTAATTGAATTATTAATAGATATATGTTAAGATCTGTTTAATTTGATATCACCATAATATATGTGAGATTGGTAATAATGTTGATGGTGCAATGTGAAATAAAACTAAATGGATCTTAATATATCATAATACATTTAAATTGATAACACCATGTTTCTTTTAACCGTCACATCCTAAAATTTCTCTTGCTTTAGACATCGCTTTGAAATATAAAGGTAGTGGCCTACCATATACAATGCATGTAGTAATTAAGCGTACAAGGGGTGACAAAATAATAGCCCACCATGGCATTGAACGACCCAACCATTTTCCAGATAAGATTATCATCAGAGCATGTTTTCCAGATAAGATTATCATCATAGCATGTTAAGTAGGGTGTGAGACTTTGATAGATTGAGCTAGGGACAATATGCATGACGTTGCAACATGATGAATGAATGACGATGATATTTGAAGAGCCATACCAACAAATACATTTTTTTTTTTTTGATGAACTGGAAATATCACATAATCAAGACCGAAGCCAAAAGTACAAGTAAGCCCACAGGAAGCAAATAATTTGGGATTCACATTTTTAGTAAAAATGAACCCACTAATTTAGTCACATAATTTGGAGAGATTTTAGTGTGTCGAAAACACGGCTAAGAACACAAAATGTTATAATACAATTGGTTGAAAACTTAAAAAAAAAAAAAAATTCAACCAATTGTATTATGACACTTAATGTATCCTATAATGTTCTCGGCACATTGAAATTTTTTTCTATAATTTGGGGTTGACATTAATTTTAAGTAGGATCACAATGTCCTGTTCACCCCGGCCTTCTTTATTTCAGTTGCTAAACAATAGTGAGCTACCCCAAAATACTCATTATAAGTCTTTATAATGATTATTGGTCGGTTACAAGAGTTTTATTTGGGGAATGATTTTTACATCACTTTTTCTCCTCTATCTACATGAACAAGATGTTTATTTCCGAAGCACAATACGGTACACCACGTCTTATAACTTAAGTATACAATGGGGCGAGCAAAAGGGCTTCTCTGGCGCCCCAACCCCCGCATCTCGACCCTTGTTACCTTAGGGGCATCAACTTTGGCTCTTGTGCATAAGGAATCTACTCAGAACTGTCCTGCATTCCCCTCTGAACCCTCCCGATCTTTAGCAGTGGAAATCGGGGATGGGGGTTGGGTAATATTTGATTATGAGGACGAACGGGCCGGGACGCAGTCTGCAGGGGTACCCTATGCAAGTCTATGGGTTCGTTTGGATGTGCTTTTAAAATGACTGAAACCGTTTTTGGTGAAAATGTTTTTGACACCAATTCTTAGTAAAAATCTAAGTGGATCCTGGAAAAGCACTTTAAGTACTTCCGGTAAGAAGCACATATCTGGTGCTTCTTCCAAAAAGCACTTAAAGTGCTTTTGGAACTCAAAATCAATTTACCCAAAAGCACTTTCAGACATTTTAAAAGCACATCCAAACAAGCCCTATCTCATGTCAAGTGACTATATTAGTTAGGTTTATTGGTTCATTCTATAATAATTGGTTTGACTACAATTTTGGTGGGCCACCAATACTACAGGGACTTGTTTTTGGAATATATATATATATATATATATATATATATATATATATATATATATATATATACATACGATTGTAAGTACTAGATATAGGGCTGGTTTGGTATTGTTGTGCATTGAAAAAAAAATCGCTTCTGCTGTGCTGTGAGAATAAGCAGCAGAGTGTTTGGTAAACTTTTTTGTAAAAGTGTTTTTGAAAAAAAAAACAGTATTACAGTATTTGGTAAATTTTTATGTAAAATAGATGTGAAAAAAGCCGGTTTTTCAAAGCTGGGTTTTGCAGCTTTGTGTTTTAGGCTTTTTTCACCCAAAACTGTGAAAAAAAGCTGAAACTGAATGTTTACCAAACACAAAAAAGTTCATAGCTTTTTTTGATACCTACTTTTTCCAGAATCATCTCAGTACCAAACTAGGTTATAGAGCATCGCAAGAGATGCTCTTAGGCCATTCACTGTAAGTTGGAGTGAGTGCGATACAATTTATATAGGAATTAGGCAGCCTAAGTTTCTTACCTATAACATTAATGTTACACTAAGTGAGTTCAATAGCTATGAGAGTCAATATTTTTTTACAAAATTAGTTTGTAAGTATCACACTCAAGTTTAATAACACAGTCCAATATATTGGTCTCACAATCAAATTTTTTGGTCTACTATAAAAGCATGAATTTTTCGGCCTACTATAAAACTGTGTTTCCTGTACGAGTTCCATATATTAGTATCATACTCACTTTTATCGGCCTCCTGTTAAGGGCCTTATGCATAATTTATACATGTAGCTGCAAATATTCACATACAGATAATACTTATATCTCATACATATAAGTATCGGTAATGCTAGGGAGATTAAAATTTAATTAAATTTGTAAATTAAATTATGCATTACCAATAAGAAATAAACACGTTAATTAACGTTTAAGTGATAATCTAATCATCAATAAGCATATCGTTTAGTTTGTAAATTTAGTTTTAAAAACTTTGATTTCCCTAATACTATGTATTGTAGTCAATCCATAATCAACACTCCAAACAAAATCCCCCCCAAGCCGGTACAAAAAAAATGATAATAATGAAAAAAAAAGGATCAAATTAGAGTAATAAAAAACGACGAGGAAAGCAACGTCGTTATTAGAGTTGGCTTGCAAGTAATAACAAATTGGGAAAAATCCGCCAAAGCAGAGGAGGATTTTCGTACACCAGTTAACAATTAGCAGCCAGAAATATTCTGAAAATTTTGGAATCAAATGGAATCTCCATCGTTTACCAAAAAAATAAAAATAAATGGAATCTCCATCTCCGTAGCCCTCCATACAATAATTGGTGGCCTCGAAACCCCTCAAAATTCCACAATCACCCCACAAATCGTCACTTGGATAATAATTTGTGTCAGAAACCTGTTTGGTTCCCGGGAAAATTCAACTGCAGGAAAAGGTAAAGGTAAAGGAGGAAGCTTTCTTTCCAGGCTTCATATTTCACTTGAATTAATCAATTATCCATTTTATATGTGCCTTGTGGAATTACAAAACTGCTGAATTTTGAATATTGTTTTTGGGTTTTTCCAAAGGTGGGACCTTTGTGATGGTTTATGCTTATTTGTTATCAGAAAACTATGCAATTTTGAATTTGGTTTTTTGGGTTTTTTTTTTCTGCAGGTAAGAACTTTCAACTTTGTGATGGTTTAGGCTTGTTAATTATTAGAAAACTACTCAGTTTTGAATTTGGTTTGTTGGGTTTTTGTAAAAGGTGATATAGCATTGTGATGGTTCATCAAGTTCTGCAACCATGCTGATGGTGTATGCTTCAGGAGCTATTACATATACAGATTCTGCTCATAATTTTTTACAGCATGAGGCAGTTTTACCCTGCAAGACTACCCATGTGAATTTCTTGAACAAAATCTCTATTTGTACTAACCCAATTGGAGCTCCTTGTAATTCTGCACTCTCTGCTTTCTACTTGTCATGGAGAAGCCGTAATCAGCTAAACAGCCCCAAGAAATGGCTAGTAAGTGTTTTTGTAAGTTTCTTTTGTTTAAAATTTAGGGATAAGGAAATGGATTTTGATATTTGTACGAGTGTTTGATATGTTTTGATATTTTTCATTGCAGTGCCGGATGAAGGATTCGATTCCATCGGATGATGAGTATCGATCATCGCGCAACATAGCAATCAGTTTATTTAGGCGGTACAGGAATGTGGTCGACCGTGGAGGAGGTGCCAACCTAAACGTATATACAGAATTCGGCGGTATTTTGTGTGTTTTGCTTTGTTTAATTTCTTTCACAACTGATGTTTCGTTTGGTTGATCAGGAGTTCATCAGTGCTGGGGTGAATGCTTATGCACTGGGCTGCACAGACGAGGGATTAAGAAAAGAACTGCTTGATATGAAAGAATCTGGTGTTGAAATTGAAGGAATGCAAAGTTATGGTGGAACCACCAGTTTCAAATTCAAGATCGCATCGGAGGAGGTAAACTCCTCTTTAGTTATTAACGTTTACCCATTTGTCGAAATGCAACCATTGTAGTATACATTGAGACATTATCTGATTGACTATAAGGATTGGAATATGAAGTTTTTTGCCCAATTCCGATGATCTTTGTGATCTATTGACTAAACTGAGTGTCAGTCATAGTCTAGTGTTGGAAATGTGAGAAGCAGGGGTGCGTGTTAAGTTTTCTGTTGGTCATGATTTCGACTTTTTTCCTCTTACAGTGAATGATTAGTTCAGTGGGATCCGGATTCCCTTTTCCGTCTTTTCTTCACAATGCAGGTTGATGAGTGCATTCTGTGGTTGAGCATTATATTCATCACCATATTGTGTACGCCACAGCCAACAATAGTTAGATGGTCATCCATACCTCCAGTATCAGACGAAGAAAGGCTTAAATGGAAAGGCTTTTGTGCACTCATAGCAAATGCGTATTATGTGAGAGGAATGGCATGGTAAGCTTCTTTCAGCATATCCAAATCCTACTTTGAGTTATATATATCATAATCCGTATTAAACATGGCTGAATTTCTGCATCCGAATCCTACTTTGACAAATCCGGATTTTTTCTGTGCAAGCACACCGCTGTATATTTCTCAAGTACATGCTATGACAACAAATTATCGACCTCCACCTTGACCTTTTCAAACTACTCTTTTCGTGCAATATAAACCGGTTGTGAAGGTTCACCTCTTTGCTTAAACTTTTTTCCTTGAAGGCTTCCAGTAAAGACACTTCAACTAGAGCAATTGGCAGTGGTTGGACAAGCCGAGGAATCATCAGTTGTTGCAAGTCGAATGCAATTAGTTTTTAGCACACTTGAGGTTAGCTGCATATAGTTCATTTTCTTAATTGAGAATGTGTTTAATATCAAACCCCTTGCCCTTGTGGCGATTTCAGCTCTGTAGTCTCCGTGTTGCTAATCTAATTTCTGTAATTTGTTTTTAGATGGTATCAAACCAAACTAGGCTCTGCCGTAGAATATGTGATAAGGAATTGACTGTGATGACCGACAAATGATTTGCTTGTGCAGGTTGTGAGTCCACACTGGCCTAGAGTATAGCGGTTCGGTGTCAAGAACAGATAACATGCTGCCCGTATTTTTACATTTGTAGTATGTGAATCTGTATGGCCTAAACCTTTTCCACTCTAGAATGGAAAACAGGGGGAAATAATATAGCCTTGTAATCGAATTTTTATATATGAATGGGAAGAATTTCATTGTTTTGTTCACATGTTCTTTCAAAGGTTAGAAAGATTGACTTGCATTACAATCTTGTGCTTTCATGCCATGTCACAATGGAAGAAGAGGGCTTCCCTCGTGGTATGCAGCTTTTTCTGTCATAACATGAATTTCTCAGACCTATATAGTCTGATTGTTATATGTACTATAAAAAATATCGACAGCAGGGATGAATACCCGGAATTTCATGTATTGTTTTTCTCATTAACTTATTTTAATGAGCCGAAATCTCACTCACCGGCCTAAACAACGAGCAAACACTCAAACGTCAAAGTAAGGGATCCATCAACGAATAAACGAGCTCCACTGAGGAAGGAGAGAGGGGGCAAGAACCATGCTTTCATAGAGAAGTGCCGGTCCGAATCTTATCTAATTGTGAGAATAACTGACTAAGCTATGCCATACTGACATCGTCCCTTTGCCTCTTTTACTTGGAATAATCAAGTATTTGCTTATCTAATTTCTCTTCTTAATTAACACTAATCACACTAGAAGTTCGAATTCCTCCTAATATTAGGAAAGTTTAACTTTCCCTTCACACCAATTTTAGACATGATAAGCTCCTCTTATGCGCACCATCAGGTTCCCAACCTTCATTCATTCTACGAATTTCTCATAACCAATAATATTATTTAGACACACAAAACTGACTCATTTATTTAAACACAATACAAATGGGCTCGACTCTTGTATGTGTTAGTTTTGTATGTCCAAGTAGCATCACCTCGACAATTGATATCTATATGCCCCAATTCTGAAAGGAAAAAAAAAAAGTGGTGAGAGTGGAAAGGGAAACCTAAGCTAGTTTCTTGAAAGGCGAACTCCAAGTCCAAAGCCATTCATGATGTCTTTCTTGAATTCCAAGTCTTGAAAGCGTACGTCAAATTAAGCTTTGAGATCAAAACCCTAGCCTTTCTTGATTCCCAAGTATCGGACGAGCGTGACATCAAAGTATGGAGATGCAGCAGCACAAGAGAAGAAAGATGAAGATGGAGAAAGGGAAGGAGATAATTACTGATGATTCTATCACTTTGGAACACAAGGATAAATTCTATCACGTTCTCCAATGTTGGACCCGGTTGGTCTCCCTATGGAACCCGCTTTCGAGGTTTTCGACCCTAGTGTGGCCAACTGGGTGCCTATGCGACGATCCACTTTATGCAACTGTAGGCACCAACATCTTTGTCGCGTCATTTGGCTCGTCTTCATGTAAATATGTGTTTGTCTTTGAGACTGATCCAACGGTGGATCCCAACGCCGGTATCGTCAAGCATCCCCAGCATGTCTTCAACAAAAGTCCCCTACAACAGGGGTAAAAGACACCGCTACTGGTGGAGCATGACGGAAAATTATATGTTCTTGCCTCTGATCCTTTCAAGAGCGTGATTGGCACCCCCGCGACACCCTCTTTCGAGGTATTTGACATCAGGGAGGGAAAATTGTTGCCTCTTCCCGAACCCCATTTTCCGACTACTCTTGCTTTTCAGACTGTTATGATAATCCCTACCCTTCTATCAGTTATACAATTGTAGGCACCAACATATTTGGCTCATCTTCAAATAGTCCCGTGTTTTGCTTCGATCCTTAACACGTATGGAAGATATGCATCTGCCACTTAAATTCTTACATCCTGAACTTCCTAAAACATTTGACAGTCGAACAAGTCGTTCCTAGGATTCTGTCCATCAAGGAGGTCAAAAAGTCCGCCTTGTTCTGTCCCTGTACTGGGAGCCATTCCACCATCGTCATGTACATGAAGAGTTTGAATTTAAACAGCTTACAAGACCTCCGAGCGAAAAGGCCGAGAAGGTAAGGGTTGGTCCGGTAGTTTTTGAATTTAAACTTGCAGAGAGTAGGGACGCCTCTGATGTCAAAATCTTTATATCCTTTTTGCATGTTCGGGGTTTATGCTTGTTTCATTTCTTCTACATCGCTACCACCGTCCTTCATCCCTCTTTCGCCATGTATTTCCCCTCTATAACTAACACAAAAGTGAAAACTAAAAATAAAAAACGAAATGGTTATTAAACGGGCTTTTAGTTAATCCGGTGTTCGATTATAATCTAGGGGAAAATTGGTCACAGCTTGAGCTTTTTACAATGCAAATCATCTCTACATCATCATTCCTATCCTCTCTCTCCTCCATATGTTCTCAAAGTTGCATCAGATTGACTTGCATCACAAGTTTCCACAATTCATGCTGTATGAAACATAATCTGGCTAATTAACAAGATCTTCCGCTGATGGAGCAATTTCACAACGTAAACAGATGATTTCCCGACTTCTGCAGCTCTGCAGTTCTCTGATAAAATACAAAACTCTCTCAGCACCTATAATATATATCTATTTACTAGCTTGATTCTTATATCTACTTCAAAGTATCGTCGACGACAGGGATGAATAAACTCAATAGCTGCATATACCGTTCTCCACATCAACCTACAAAAGGGTAGACAAGGAGGGATATATGAGAGTACAATTTGGCTAAGAAATTACAAGTTGAAAATCTTGCCCTTCCCCTCAAAACACATATTTAAGGGTCGTTCCTACCAAAAAAAAAGGGCCATTATTGTTTGATGTTTTGAAAATCAAGTAGCTAATTGACCTAATATTGATGGCAACAGCAAGGTCTACCTTTCTATGCCCATCTTTTCTGTGGAGGAGCATCCTTTCGTTCAGATATAGAACGCCTTCGAATGGTCTTTTTTGAATCCCCACCAGCTGATGTCGGCCTTGGCCTTGAAAATTGAGTGGTACTGGATCTTGTGATAGGGCTCATTGGTTGAGATTTTGGGCTCGCCGGTTGAGATTTTGGACTCATTGGTTGAGAAGTTTTGCTCACTGAGTGTACTTGCCTTGAATTCATGGTGATTGCTTTTAGAGGATTCGGTGGGTGGGATTTTATGCGACTGTTAGTTGGTTTCACCTTCGAAGTTGAGGCTTTTTCAGGCTCTGGTTTCTTAGTTGTTTGAACAGGGTCAAGGATCTGAGGAACCTTTCGAGTTTTAAAAACAGGAGGAGCTGGTGGTCGAATCCGTGGAGAGCAGTCTGAATCAGAAGATGAAGGGCCAGTAGTGTTATCCATATCATAAAGGATGTTGTTCATCATGTGATGGTTTTGTTTATCATCTTCATGTGCATCTGGGGAAGAGAAAGAGGGTCTCTGAAGCCTTGTAAGGTGCACTACCTGTATATGTATATACACATTGACAATTTGACATGAATAACTCAAAAGTCAAATACATTATTTTCCGTAATTCTGAAACCCCACATCTTACTTCGCAGCTCCGTACCTTTTGTTCTAGAACTACCATGTCCCTCTTTAGTCTTGTAATCGTTGAGTTCTTTCTACGTATTATGTCTTCTAACTCTGAAATCCTCTGATATGAATGATAAGAATAACCGTGATCAGCCAAAGACAAAATTTGGCAATAGAATTATAGAAGAACAAAACGAGAACAAAAGAGGGAGGTTGCCTTTGAACCGGCACTTTCAGCTGACTGGAGTAAAGTGGTCAGCTCCTGTATGGTTCCATCTTTCTCTTCACAATCCTTCTTGAGATTGTCTATGTCTTGTTCAATATCTACGGCGTTTAGCTGCTGAAATCACAACGAATTACATCAAGAACACGAAAAAGTGATACCTTAGAAAGTAGAAACTGCCATTTCTGGTAAGTTTTGCAGACCAAAAGATGAAAGCAGTTCCATTACCTGGATGTCTGCAGCAGAAGTGACACTTGAGCACAAGTCTGATAAATCTGACATCCGGCGCTCCTCTTGCTCTTGTACATTTGGCAGAGACACTTTATATCGTAGTATATGATCCCCATCAGAGGCTTTCTCAGCATTGTTATCCTGAAACCAAATTAAGAGATTAACCAGATCAAGATTTCTGCATTAGTACAAGATAACTCGAAACAATCCATGTAGCGACATGGAGCAATTCTTACCACCAACCCATTTGGAAGATCACGATGTTGATCACAAAGCCAACAACCACAATCAACAAACTTGATTTTATGGGAACTGAAAGATTCGTTGCGCTGCAATTCTACATTTTCGAGGGTGGAAGGAACAAGAGTTCCCGAGTGATCCTTAATGTTATTCATCTGCTCGCACAGGCTGTCAAGCTTCTGCTGCATGCTTGATAATATCTGATCCTGGTAAACAGTTTGACACAAGAATTTAAGTCAAGAATTATATTTCACCACTTGAAGGTTCTCAGCATTTAACATAAAATAGTACGCGAATTCGGTTAACTCGAAAGATTGATACTTTACTCAAAAACAATATCAAATCTGATACTTAAAAATTTAGACTAACACTTAGGCTGAACCAAAGATTTCAATATCAAATGTATATGAGAATATATAAAAGGGAACTTTCACGAAAAGCTCCTCGTTCAGTTCACTTTAACGAAAAACCATATTTTTACACTAAAAAGTCAATCATAATACTATTCACTTTACCTTTTATTTTGTTGTTATAGTTAAAACTCAAAGTTTTCTAACATTTTTCCATTAGTTTTCCTTATATAAAATTCATGAATAAAATTAAATTGATATTAAAAACACATGCCCAGTTATGAATATAACCTCCATAACTACAACAGTTAAAATAAATATACAGAGAGAATAATGATTGAATTATACAAAATTTCAAAATTTGTTAAAGAAAACGTCCAAAGATTCATAATTTAAACAAACTCAAATCAGCAATTAAAGAGAGAATTGAAAATTTAATAAACCCAAATTAATCAAAACTCAATGACTACAAACCCGAAGTTCCACAGATTTCTTCAGCTGAGAAATGTGGCGGTTTTTCTTCGACTCGGCGGCGGCGACACTTATCACGGCGACGAAGAGGAACCTCTGGAAGGGGGTAAACAGCTCCCAAGCCGCGGCTTGCTCTGGGCTCAAGCCACCCTTAATGGCTCGAGCCGAGCTGGCCTCGTCGGCATTGACCATCCGGCCTTCGAGGTTGACCCAGGCCAGCTTCCTGCGAGCCGGCACGGGGCGGCTCCGCTCATTGAAGCTGCTTGAGAGGCGGCGCTTGGAGGAGGGCGTGGGGATTGGGGTTAATGTGACCCGAACCGCGCCGAAGCCACCGGAGGGGAAGTCTTGGTCGGACACTTCCATGGCATGAAGGGCGGAGAGGAGAGGAGGGAGAGAAGAGAGAGTGAGAGAGAGAATCGACCAAGTTTTAAAATGCTTTTTTGGGAAGTTGTTGGTATTTTTTTCAAATGCTGTTGAATTGAGAGGGAAACCGCAATAACCGTTTGTCCAACGTCTCGTCCCTCTTCAAACGTTGGAAATTTTCTCCCTTTTTTCTTAGGAAAACTAATGGAAAGGGCTTGAAAACTTTGAGTTTTAATAATAAGGACAAAGTAAAGGGTAAAGTGAATAGTACCAGGATTGACTTTTTAGTGTAAAAATTTGGTTTTTCGTTAAAATGAACAGTACCGGGAGCTTTTCGTTAAAGTTCCCTTTTTTCTTTTCCATTTTTTTATTTTTGATTTTTCTCTGAAACTAAATATTCAATTTATCAAGAAAAAGTAATTTTATTTCTGGGCGTAATCCAAATAGAGTTGTTTTCTAAACACCTAGAATCTGTTAATTAGTCATTTATTTTGGTAATTTAGTCATGATTTTAACGCTGATTTACGTAGATATGTCATAGTGATTAGAATCAAATTATTTTTATTAAAGAAACTGAAAAAATCCCGTACGAATAGAGAAGATCAGATGTTTCAAGATTCATAAATTGGAATGAAAATGAAATACGAATATCATGATCATACTCAATTTGTTAGCATTATTTCTCACTTCTTTTTGTGATTCACATAAAAGAAATTTGAATGTTATAAAATACAAGGGCATAAAGTGTCTATAAGAGACTTTTTATGTCCACCGTAAGTTGGAGTACAATAGAGGCAGAGAGAATATTCGGTGAAGTGGAATGAGTAGAGATCGGAAAGAATACTAACGACGAAAGTATTTTGTTGAGCCGACACTGACATTGAGAGACGATTTGGGCGATATTGGTAACAATTAACGAATTGGAGGGCTCAAAATCAAATTAAAAATTTAGAGGGCAAGTAACAAGATCTAAATTTCAGAACTTCAGAGAAGAGAAATATATGTTGTGAAAAAGCAATTAAATAGTTAAATATCTTGGTCTCATCCTTATTTATTGGGCTTAAACAGGCACTCTATTGGGCTTTAGCCCATGTAAACTTTTGGGTAAAAGATAGACAGAGGCCCAAAAATGCCCAAATGTTCCCAACCCAGATTTTAGCCGAGCAAAAATGATGTGATGTATCAAAAAAAAACCCAAATATTCTGCATGAGTGGTCTTTTCTTTCATTAAACCAACCATACAAATCAAGAGTCCGTATCTTTTTTTTCTTTTAGTTTTTTTGTCAAACGATAAATTTGTTAGATTAATCATTGACGAAATTTGAGCCGACGTCATCATATAAGGGCTCAACTCATTTCTACTACTACGGTACCGAGCCACTTATCTTTTTCTCTCTCTTGAATGATCAGAATTCGAAATATTTTGTTTTTCTTCAGTAAATTAGAGGGAAATAAGGGGATAACTATAAAGAAAACAAAAGGACATAAATGTTTTATTCCACAAGGTGATTCGCTATACGCTGGTTGCGAACGGGGCATATCCTACTACTCATAAAGCTTAGAACAAACTTAATTTAACCTCAACATAAGCTGTGATAACAAATTACTCACCCAAATAAATATAACCCTAACCCATGCGATCGGTGTAGCTTTTTGCCTAATCTCTTTCCCAATACCAGAAGGGGAGAGATTCTCTTGAGATAAGACCTCAATCTTAAAATAACACTTGGCCTGTGAATAGAAAAGGAGGATAAAAGTTATTGATTTAGGATGAGGATCCTTTCTCCTGGTCCTCTTTGAGAGGATCGTTTCGTAGGGATCCTCACATTATGATCGTTCATCGTGTATTGTGTGGTTAATTTTCGTTAAATAATATTTATGTTTAATTTTAAATAAACAAATTTAAAATGATTTATGACAGTACAATATACGATAAACGATTAGGATGTGAAGATCTCCACAACTTGGATTCGGATGGGAAACACAATATTTATTAACTTAGTAAACACCACCAGGATCCTTTCCGAATCCTCTTCTAGGGGATCCCAGGATCCGTAAATCGTGTTCGTTTATCGTACATTATGCGGTTTGTTTTCGTCAGGTACTATTTGTGTTCAATATTAAATAAAAAAATTTAAATGATTTTTGATCTCACGATATACGATGAACATAGACAATTCACGAATTCCTGAGATCCTCACAAAGTGGATCCGGAAAGGATCTGGATTCTTAGTAAACATACTCATGTTTTAATTTTTAATTTTTTCGGTTACATGGTGGCAATGCCAAATGAAAAAGAAAACTACAAAATAATATTAGGAACTTTAATGAAAAGCTTCCGGTACGGTTCACTTTAACGGAAAAACCATATTTTTACACTAAAAAGTCAATCATGATAATAATCACTTTATCCTTTATTTTGTCCTTATCGTTAAAACTCAAAGTTTTCAAGCTATTTTCATTAGTTTTCCTAATAATATTAGACCAAAAATGTTTTTCTTACTTTCTATTTGTACCATTGTTTGTTCCGTATCTTTAATATAGATGAGACATACATGTGTTAGTGAGCTCTACCTCTATTAGAGAGATGATAAGGCCATCTCCAACCGAGGGCTGGCCAGAGGGCTCGTTTGAGCCCTCTGGCCCTCCAAGATTCCCCAAGATATTAATATTTTAATGAACACTACATGGCCATATTTGCCTCCGTCTCCAACCAAGGGCCAGAGGGCCAAATGGCTCGTTTTAGCCCTGTCACAAAAAATCGTCTCCAACCGAGGGCCAAAGGGCCATAGGGCCAAACATAATTTATTATTTAAAAACTACAATTTAATGTTGTATAAATGGCCTAGGAAGTTATACGAAAAAAATAGAATTGAAAAAAAATATGAAACAAATTTTGTGAAATAGATATGAAAAAAAATTTGATTCATATGAAAAGGAAAAAAAAAGGGAAAAAAAGAAGTTTAAATTCATTAAAAAAAAAGAAGTTTAAATTCATTAAAAAAAAAAAAAAAAGAGGCCTAATAATCCAACGGCTACTAGCCGTTACATTAAAAAACATTTCAAACTATTAGTGTCGGTTATAACCGACACTAATAGTAGAACTATTTAAAAAAAAAAAAAGCTCTTTAATGCTGTCGGTTTTAACCGACAGCAATAGGAAACATTAAAAAAAAATAGCCAGCCCCGGGGCTGGCTGGCTGGCCGAAAGCAGCCAGCCCTCCAGCCCTCCAGCCCTCTCCGATCCCGTGGGGCCCTCCCAGATTCCAGAGCCCTCTGGCCTAGCCCTCGGTTGGAGACGGTTTTAGGGCTATTTTCGGCCCTCTGGACCCTTCGGTTGGAGATGGCCTAAAGGTCGGTAAAGGTCGTACCTAGTGCACAAGGCTCCCGCTTTACGCAGGGTCTGGAAGAGGTGAATGTCGGCTAGCCTTACCCCCATTTTATGGAGAAGTTGCTCCCTAGTCTCGAACCCGAGACCTACCGCTCATGGATAACACAACTCATGTTACACCAAGCCTTGCCGACCTTGTTAGAACTTAACAGTAAACTAGTAGAGGTTCATCCCATATCAGCAATCATGCATGTTACTTAAGTTTTTTGATAGGGATTCAAACTCTCTTATTTTTTTTTCAATGGTAATTAGAGAGTGATTTCCTAGCATGCTTCAAAAATTCAATGACCAAGATCTAACGACTGTCCGAAAATTTCAATAAATAGGATACATCGAAAAATTATAAACTTTTCAATAAATGAGGTTTGTTTGGGTCTTTTCAACACCAACAGGATCCTATTCGGATCTTTTTGGCAAGGATTCCAGAGATGATTCTGGAGATCCGTAAATTGTGTGTTCATTATACATTATGTGGTCAGTTTTTGTCAAATACTATTTGTATTTAATTTTAAATAAAAATATTTAAAATAATTTCTAATTGCACGATGTACAATAAACAAATATGATTTACAGATCTCTGAAATCCTCACAAAAAGATCTAGTGAGAATCCGGATTCTTTTCAACAAACCAAGTTTAGAATGCTATTCTGTATTAAATAGTTTGGGAGGCAGTAGCTTCATCATGCAGCCAAAAAGAAAAAGGTCCCCACTTTTCATTAAAAATAAATAAATAAATCCCCACTCAGAAAAGAAAATTATGTAATTTCATGTTCCAGATGAAGGATTCTCGTCGGATTCTTTTTATGAAGATTTCAAAGATTTTCAAATCACATTCGTTCATCGTATATCGTACGAATAGTTTTTGTCAGGTACTGTTTATATTTAATTTTAAATAATAAAAATTTACAATGAGTTTTTACCGCACGATATACGATTAACGAATGTGATTGGAGGATCTGGCAAGGATCCTCATAGATGATTCCAAGTAGTACGCCTACATCTCTCTCTTTCCAACTAGAAATACGGATCCTCTTCGGATCTCATTGTCCAAAGCTCAAGGAACAAGTAATTTGAATTGTGCAAATTAAATTTGACAGTCCTTATTAACTCATTTCGATGACCTATTTCACACAAAGTAAGAGTCCGAATTTTTTTTTTCTCTTTTGAACTATCCAAATTCTTAGAAAGGTTCGAAGTTCTAGACTATAAGGTCCGGAGAGGATCCAAATCCTCCAACTAGTATATATGATGACCAAATATATATATACACATACATATACATATATACATAAAAAAAAAATATATATATATATATATGAACATTCTGGGCTTCCAGGGAATAAAAACAAGAATATGTATTCATCAATTCCCCCCCTAAACTTGTGATCATTGGCCAATTTCCCCCCTCAACTTTAATTTTGGCCAATTTCCCCCTTAACTCTCATAATTAGTCAATTTCCCCCCCCCCTCAACTTTAATTTGGCCAATTTCCCCCCTCAACTCTCATAATTAGTTAATTTGCACTCTACTGTTAATTTTTTTTTTAATTTTCCATCTATTCTTTTTTTTTTCTTTCAATCTTTTTAATAACTTCCAACAAAGTACTAAAATTAGCATAAACTCACCTGCATAATATAGGGTAAAATGTACAAAAACATAATACAATTAGTATGTGATATGGGTTGATTATAAGAAAAAGTTATGAATCGGG